GCGCGTTCGTGCAGCGCAAGCATTGTTCAGGGCCACATGTTCACGCCTGTAGCATCGACTGCGTTTGAACTGAAGCTGAAACGAAGCATAGACCGAGCAGTCGCTCACTCGAAGTGGACGCTCTCAGCTATGTTTCCAACCGTCGTAGTGAAGAGAACGAGCGCTCAGCTTCCGCCGTTGTTAAGGGCAAAGCAACTAGAATCTTGAGGAGACGATGGACGTTCTGAAAAACGGCCTCTGGACAGAGGGCGACCACCTGTACACCGCAGATGTGACGGGCGCTTCACGTTTCTCCCTCTTGCATTGAACGCCTAAAATTTCCCCTATTTTTGGCGAAGTTTCCCTCACTTTGCGAAAGTCGTCGCTCACGGATGCGATGAAGTCCGTCTTGCTTTCTGCTTTATATGTCAAGGTGGCATGCGATGCAATTCCTTATTACTATTAGGTTAATCTCTCCGCTGCACGGAACATCAGAAACTTGAAGAGACAAGCCTTCATATTCTCACTACGCACAGGCGCAAGGCTAGTCAAGTTCCTTTCCACGTTCGGCGTGTAGTTTCTTTGTGGTGCGTCATGTCATTTCTCCGAGTGACGGAACGACGAGTTCGGACTGATGACTTCTTCTTACCCCGAGGATATGCTGCTGCTGCCTTTGGATCACGCTGCAAGATAAAACGACCTAGCAAAGATAACACTATCTTTCCTTCGGCATCTGGTTCTGTAGCACGAATTCGTTAAACATTTAATAGATAATAGATTTTGGTTTTGTGATTGTTCAGAATTACCTTCGGCCTAAATATGGGCCCCTAAAGACTAAAGTGTTTGTGCGTGGTCGGTTGCTCCCATTTTTCAGTGTCGAGATTTTTTTTCTTTTTTTTTTTGCTGTTTATTTTTTTTTTTTTTTTGTATGTGTGTGAAAGTATAGCTATTTTTGTGTTTTCTCTGGCCTTTACGCGTTGGTATTGCGGTGCTACTTCGAAAAGCGAAGGGAGTTTTGTGTTGTGAGAAAGCGTTTAAAGTTGGTGGGCCGCAATTACGACGACAGTAGAACAGTGAGCCACCCCGCCCGTATTTCTGTAAATGAAGCCTGCTCCGTTTTTAAAAATGACAATGCAGCGCTACCCGTATTATCTTAACAGCGTCTCCCTAATCTTTGCCTGAGCGTCCGTGTCGGCGAGCTCACCCTCCGTCATTGACCGGGGGGGGGGGGGGGGGGGGGGGAGGGGAGGGGAGGGGGGGGGGGGAGGGGAGAGGAGAGGAGATGCCGTTGAACCCCTCCCGAAATAAAATCCTGGCTACGCCACTGGCTGCAAGCATCACCGCTATCTTTGCTGGCTCAGCGCGTGCGGTGCAAAGAAGCTCGCCGCATTCGCCGAGCAGGCAAAGACAGCGGTGACAGCTTTCAGCGCACTGAGACGCGCACTGCCGAAGCTGGGGGAGCGCCAATCGAGGGGCGTGAACACATCGAAGTACCACGCACCCTCGCCCCTAGGCTCACTTCCAGTTCGCGCAGCCTGTACCGCGAGCCACGCGCTCCTCTGTTCGCATTTCATTTTTCCCCGATAGTACACTTGTGGGATGTCTGAGCAAGTAAAAACAGAAGCAGCGAGTTCCGTCACAACACGTCACATCAGAAGACAACACAACACAAAGTGCCCTTCGTTTGTACAGCTCTTAAAACGAATATTTTTATTTTCCTAAGAATATCTGCTCCAAAATCCACTTTAGCTGCTCCGAAACACTGTCTTGGATTCTCCAAAAGCCGCTTCTGCTGCTCCAAAACACTGTTTTGGACGTTGCTCCGAAACGTGCGCCAAAATGGCTTACGCCAATCGCATCACTGGTATAGTCATACGGTGATTAGTTCTTTAATAAAAATGTAATTGAAGGCCGCCAAACCTCGGATCCATCTGAAAACGAAACCACTCTCATTGGTCCTCGCACGCTTATCAAAAGGATCTCGGGTCAATGGCGTTGGACGACGTTCCGTCGCGCAGTGATCCCGAGGTAGGTAGCCGCATCGGCCGAATTTCTTTGTCATTCGAGCTTCGATCATGGCGGAGTTCTCTACGCTCGAGGACCTGACGCCGTTAGAGGTTGAAATTCTTCGGCGGACAGCCGACCTGGGGATGATTTCCTATGACGCCACTCCGACGTGCGATGTGCACGATAGCACCGCTTCGGAGACATGCTGGGTACCGAGGATGACGAAACGCAGACCTTTTCGGGCGATCTTCGATTTGCAATTGGGGCAAGTCGTAACCAAACCAACGTTTGACATCGCAGCAGTGGCGTAGGCAGAGGGGGGGTTTGGGGGGTGGAAACCCCTCCCGAAATGCCAAAGCTACCCCCCCCCCCCCCCTTCCCCCCCAACGGGGCCCGCTCGCTGCCCTGCTCACGCAGTTGGCTTTGCACGAGGCACGGAGCAACGGGGGAGCACGGACCATGGGCCTCCTGCGCTGCCCAGAGGGTGCTGCGAATAAGACTTGTTAGGACTTGTTTTGGGTAGTACAAATTTTAGCGTCTCAAACCAACTCAAACTGTCACGCATGCAGAAGCGTGCACTCTAAGAAAAAAGGGAGGAGAAAGGTAGCAAAAGCGACTGTTCCTCCTTGTTGCGGACAAGTTGCCCAGAGAAGGGAGGAACGGCAGTTCAGGTGAAAGGAGGAGGGCGAGTTCCTCCTTGTTTAGGTGGCGCAGGGGTAGAACATCGCGCTACTGACCAAGTGGTCAACGGTTCGATCCCCAGAAAAGTACGTTTTTTTTTTTGTTTTTTTTTTTTTGTAAAGTTTTTTTTTAAATTTTTGTTTACCAAAACACACATAAACAAACCCAGACCGATGAAAGGAAAATTAAAGTCCTTATTATTCTCCGAGACGTTTTCCTCCTCCAGGCAGACCGGAGAAAGCTTTCGCCCTCCCGACTCGTTTTCTTTCGGTTTCGTTTTTCGAGCACATCGCGCACGTTGTTTAATAAATTAATGTTGAGTTGATTGAGCTTCAGCGGCAGCGAAGGCCGCCTGTAATTCCGTCTTCTAGTCCAAACGTGCAGAACATTTCGGTTGCATTGACGTTTTTACCACTAATTTTATCAAACGAGCTAACGAAGCCGCTAGAAACAGCGAAGTTCCGGAGCAGTGCCAGCAGCGCTACATACACTGGGTAAGACGGCCGTCTCCAATTTGCGGGACACACGCGGAACTACCCTGGAATACTGGCTAGTCTGCCGTCCGCGCTCCTCTCCCTATTCGCGACTCCAGCAAAACGGACGCCGCCAAGCGGGAAAACCGGGAACCAGCCGGTCCAGGTCGCTCCGCGCTTCTCCGCGTCTCTGGTGGCTCTCGCGGACACGTGTTGTCGGCGCGGTGGCGAACATTGTAATTCAACAAAGGTCCGAAAATTTCTTAAGTTTGCCTGAGTGTTCATTAGTGTGGTGAAGCCTCAGATAGATTGCTTCTTTCCATCACGTGTCTGAAAGCCCGTTTACTCCACAACACACGGTCGCGTGCTTTCGATTTCTTGGATGGGGAGGAATCACGGAAAAACGTTTTGATTCCTTGTCTGTCTTGAATCACATTCAAAGTGACGACTACTTGATAACTGATAAGTGGTTTCTTTATAAGGATGTAGAACAGTGGACTATGAACGACAGACGAGGTGTTTCACTGGAGGGAACGCCAATGTTGCAGTCAAGTGAATGGGAAGGTTCGATAGCTGCTTTTCTTGAGTTTGGTCGTGCTCGATTAGCTTCAAGTTTGAACCACCCCCGCCGGCCAATGCGTTGGCTATTCATTTTGGCTGCTTTTCGCCGAAAAAGCCTCTGGACCACACTGAAGGAGTTGGACTAATTTCGCAATTACTTGATTCGGGGAAACCTGCTCGCTGCCAATGATTAATAAGAGAAATTATCTGTTTTCAAAAGGTGGTGGACGCGTCTCGCAAAGTTAGAAGCTGCCACGGCATTAGGATCTATCGCGCCTCCAATATTTATATTATACCCCCGTCGAAGCCAGCAGCAATATACGTCAACATTGTTCAGGTTGACCGGCCACAAAAAATACTCATTTTATCCGTTCACGATTCGAAGTCAAGTTCAATGCAGAGAGGTTCTGAGTGAATCTCCGATGAAGACTCTCTTCGATTTGTCCGCATTCGTCTCTGTGCTACCGGCTAGAACCATTTGGCTAAGTTTAAGCATAGTAATATACTTATATTCAGCAGGTCACCTGATAGCTAGTCAACTAAGTTCATATTTCAGCCCAAAGAATATACTAATATCGCTTTAGTGGAACATAGTACGTAATATCTAATACATAACTCGCTGGTCAAAATGACTTCTCGATTGCTACTAAAACCTGAATTTAAATACGAGTATCAGCTGCTTAGTGAAGAGCCAGCGGGTTAACATGCTCCTTGGCTCAAGAAGCGCTTGCTTAATTTTCGTAATTTTCCTGCAGCCTGTGTTGTTGACCGAGCAGACGACTTGAGCTGTTTCTTAGACGCGGATACGCACAAAAACTCGATTTCTCGGACAGATAAGTCGCATGGTCGAGGCATGCGAGTTGGCTAAAAATTACTCTCGGTGGAACAATACTGTAGCCATCGCCGTTTTCTTTAGATGATCAAAATTAACTAGAGCCTATTACCGTTTCTCCGGAGCCCATAGTTTCGGTTTTGAACGAAGTCTCCGCGGAACGAAAGTTTGACATGAAAAGAACAAAAAAACACCGGCAAAACAAAACTACGCTCGGCAAGTTTATGCGCACCGGCTACATTTAACCGTCTCAGTTCAAACGCCTATAAAATTGGGCATTAAACAAAAGAAAATTTGTTAAACTGAATGCGCCGCCCGTTCAGGCGGCCCGGCCGAGCCGACGCGACCTGGACCCAGCCGCCATGTTTGTTTGGTGGTGGCGCCCCCTATAGGTCGCTGGAGTCGCGAATGGGGCGAGGTGTCGCGCCGATGATGACAGCGTAGAGGGCGCTGCGGAGAATCGGCGTGCTGTCAAACCGGTCGCGCCAGCCACGCCGGCCACGCTCCACGTGTAGTTTTGCAGGTAGAATGGCTGATATGGCTGGCGTTTTTGGTCACTTCGTAGATCTCAACGCATGATGTCGGGGAGAAAGCGACAGTCCCGCGACAGCACTTGCTTCGTGCCTGGCTGCAGGAGTGGATACCGCTCGTGCAAAGAAAAGTTTTCGCTGTTTAGAACTCCACAAGACTCCGCGAGGCTGCAAGAGTGGGCGTGCAAAATCAAGCGTGATGACAGAACCCTCGGCGAAGCCAGCGTCGTGTGTGAGAGACACTTTGAGCCCCAGTTCATCGAACGAACCTTCAAGAACGTCGTCCAAGGGCAAGTCATTGAGCTACCACGTAGTGTGCCGCAGCTGACGAAGGACGCTGTGCCGAGCGTGTTTCCGGACGCGCCCAAGTACTTCTCGAAGCCAGTGCCTAAAAAAAGAAAGGAACGTAACCTGTGTGATCAGGTGCCACTGCCACTTGTCAAGAGGCACTGCGTGGATGTAGAAATGCAACCTGATGCTGACCTGCCCGTTAGTGATGCTTCTCGGGACACTGCTCTCATTCGCGAGTGCCTTGATCTGCTGCCTGCACCTCCGTGGACTAAGATCAACCTCGACGGCAACACAGATCAAATAACCTTTGCTCATTGCCATTTGAGTGAGGAAGGTGCTCTAGGTGTTTTGCACGTGAGCCGTCGCATTGTGCTTGATTTTGCTGCGCCACAGGGCTCAACTCCAAAAGCAACAGTCTATCTTTGTGGAAAGGAAATCAAAAATCAAAGTATAAGCAGCGCAAATGACGTCAAAGTCTTGTTGCACGAGATCGGAAGCATGAAGCTGTGCCCTGGCTATGGTCTGAAACCTATGACAAAAACTTTTGTTTGTTTCAATGGGTGCTACTTTTCAGCAAAATGCTCTCTGATTTCTGAATCGCCCTGCTTGGCGTGCAAGTATATGCGTAAACTGAGCCAAAATGCAGCCTCCAGGAAGAAAAGAATCATCAAAGCAAAAAAATCAGCTTCGAAGAGCCGTGCTTTACGGGTACTGAAGAGGAAATTGGCAAAAGCACAGAGTGCTGTTGAGAGCATGAAAAACGAGAACGAGCAGCTGTCGAAAACAGACTTTCAACAAAGGATGAGTGCTCTGCCTTCGAAACAGCAGCTTGCTGTTACAGCTTGCTTTGAAGCTGCCAGACGTAAGTCGGCAAAGGGCATGCAGTACACGAACGAGTGGCTTCTTGAATGCATATTAATGCGTATGAAGAGTCCGAGACTCTATGAACACATTAGACGACACAAGATACTTGCCCTACCTGGACGGACGTGCCTGCAAAAGCGGATTCTTGGCTTCAAAGGCGGCTTCGGTTTTAACCAAAAAATATTTGAAGCCCTTTCTGAGAAGACGAAATGTATGGACAAGTTTGCATGCCATGGAGGCATTGTGTTTGATGAGATGAAGATTTCAGAGCACTTGGATGTCAAGTCAACTGGTGAGAACCTGTTCTTAAGTTGTGGCTCTTCACTGCTATAGTGTTTGTCTCTGCTGTGTACTTTATATGCACATTTGTTTTGCATTTCTAGGCGACTTAGAGGGATTCGTTGACCTCGCACAGTTTACTCCAGAATCACAGAAGGGGCAAGTTTGCGATCATGGGATGGTTGTTCTGTTCCAACCTTTCCAAGGTAAGCGATTCCATTCTGCTATTGCATTTATTGTGCTGCATTGCAGGTGTGAAACAAAACTTTTATTTATTGTCTTTTGGCTTCTTTCCTTAGGTCAGTGGACACAGGTCCTTGGTGTGTTTGCTTCACGTGGAAATGTTAAAGCTGACACCTTGGCCAAAATCATTGTCGAGGCAACAATCATTTTGTCGATGATTTTGTCGAGGCAACAAAATCATTGTCGAGGCAGCCTTGTACGCTAGCTCGCCAAACTACCAGTTTCTTAAAAAGTTCCTGGAGTACCTGAGAAAGTGGGAAAGCCACGCGAAATCTACTGTGAGTGGCTTTCTGAGTTCTAGCACAGCAGAAGGGCTACATGTGACAATTGAAAGCACGCTACATCTGCTTGACTACATCAACACAATCGGGTTTAAATATATAATGACAGCGAATTTGAGCCAGGACAGGCTTGAGAACCTGTTTGGCGTCGTTCGACAGTCATCTGGTGCAAACGATCACCCTACTGCTGCCCAGTTCTTAATCACAGTCAATGCACTCGCATTTTACAATCTAGCCAGGCCACCCAAGTCAGGCAACTGCTCTCCAGAACTGATCAGCTCTCTCATTTCAAACGTTGGATCAGAGCTGCACAAGGAGCGAGCGATAGACATTTTGGACGGGCTGATCGACAAAGGAAAGCTTAATGACGCAGAAGAAGCACTCAGCTCTTGCACGCCGTCAGACCACAGTGCTTACGTAACAGAAAAAAGCAATGACTTGCTTATTTACTACATTGCTGGATATGTAGTCAGAAAGACAGTGAACAAGACTTCATGTGAGGTTTGTGTATCCTTCCTGCAAACTGACCAGTACACCGCCATGGAAGAGGATCAGGCTTCGTCATTTACAGCCCACTTCGACAATGGAGGTTTGATGTACCCATCTGGCCCCCTTAGGAACCTTATAACTCTCCTTGAAGATAGTTTCACAACTTATTTCAGCTTACACAAGCTCCACTCCAGGAGCATTAAGGACTTCTTTTCCTTCTTGGTGAAAGTAGAGTTTCCCACATTAGGTTGTCTAGCACATGAACACACCATAACAACAGGTGTAATCAAGTATTATGTACTTCTGCGTTTTCGATTTTACACGAAGGCGCTCAACAATGACAGGATGGCGAAACAGGAGCGTATGAAGCTACTGAAAGAATGGAGGCTGAAGTAAGATGAAAGCGTGTATTATAAGTAGGGTTCTGCGTTTTCGGAGTTTATTCAGTTTTTTTCCCCTCGAAAGTGGGAGTGTTTTTGTTTTATTTTTCGGGGCTTAATTTTCTTTTACCGATTTGGTGTTTTTTGTGTAAATTGGTTAAGTCATAACCAATTTACACAAAAAACACCGAATCTACAAAAAAAAAAAAAAAAAAATACCCCCCCCCTCCCAAAAAAGAAAAAGATATTTTGAGATAAAAAAAAAATTAACTCCGAAAAGGCAAAACCCTAATTATAAGCAAGTGTTTTTTTTTTTTTTTTTTTTTTTTTTCCTGAAGCTACAAATAAGCTGCTTTAATGGTGACTCTGTGTTCGTTGTGGTATGTAGTCTGGAAAAAAGAACAGCCACTGTGTGTCTGTAATAAACCGTTAGAAACTATGGTGTGTTTTTACTGGGATATTTTTACGAGAACCTGTTATGTTGCACAGATAACAGTAATGCCAGTGCTGTTAAGTGAACTGTACAACTATAATTGATCTCATCATAATGGCAAAAAGTTTTCCACTAGAGCGGCGGCAACGCAGGCCACTTTTACTCAGTCAAATGCAAACGCGCGCAAAACTAAAAACTCGCTGCTCCTCAGCTGCGCCCGTCGAACCCGTCGGTAGCACGCCGACTGCTTGCAGCGCCACCGCATCTTTCATCCCGGAAAAGACGCGCCGCGGCCGGCGGACGGCAGACTACTACAGCAGCGAAACCACGAGGAACTGTGTCGACGTTTTCGACGTTATGGAAATCGCGGTAACTGCGTCCAAGGAAGGCAGGTTTTCCTGCTGGCTGCCTGGGTGCCTTCCGTGCTGAGTTCGGTTCCGTTGTCCCGTGCCGAGTGCCAACCGGCGTTCAACGCGATTCTTCTGCGTGTCAGCAACATCGTCAACGTGGTTCTGTATTTCTTCGTGTCAGCGACATCGTGATGGCAGTGTTGTGGGTTGTGAACAGAAGACTGGAATTATCGCCGATGTGACCGTGTGTTCGCGTATCAGTGGTGTAACAACAAAATGAGATGACGTAAACTGTCGGGCATTGATGCCGCTGGTCGAGCCGTTATCGGAGGGGCCGGGGTGTCGCAGGATGACATTCCGCTTTACATTAAAGAGTTTAAAACCACTTGAGGGATTAGGTGCAGTCGATCGACGTGTGGATAGTCATGTTGGAACGCTGGTCTGAACGGTAAGCTCCTATCGTACAGTGGCCAATGTGACTGTCGGTCCCCGAGAGTGATTGCGCTCTGGGGAAAAGACAACACTACGAAAGTATGACGGAAAGTACGTATATTTATAATGGAAGTTTAGCATAAAAAAAAAGACAGGCAAAATCGAAAAAAAAAAAAAAACGCTATCCTTATTTTACTGTTTAAATATATTACGGTTCCTGTCGAAACTGCCCTCTAAGTGGCGCGCTGGGATGAGCGCTAGAAGTTTTCGAGCTCGCAACGGCGCAGCTGGCGCAGCTCTGTACACTTAACAGTTGTCGGAAGTCGCGGCTTTGACTGCATTCAAGTTGATCGAAAAGCGATTTCTGTGCCCGTGAAGCATCACTTCCAGCTGAGTGGATATCCGCTCTACAGAGATTAATTCAAGACGGCAATTGCAGCTTTGCGCGAACAGCACAAATAGAAAAACGAACACTACAATATAAATACTGGCTACGAAGGGCCATGCGGGAAAACAAACTCACGGCTTGGAACCACATTGGAGCGGCTCGATTTATTGGCTTTCAAATAATTATGGCATGATCGAGCGTCTTCTTTCTAATAAGAGATTCATCCCCTGAGCCACTAAAAATAGCCTCAGATGTATGACATTGCTGGAAAAAAATGAACATGTTCGGAATATTTTTTTTTGCTTAGGGAGTCACCGAAAAATTCTGTACGTTCAAAACGACCACTATAAAAGGCGGAAACGCAGGGCTCGGTAGTAGTGGTCGGGGTAGTGTGCTGTTGTATTGATGTTTGTATGTGCGATGCCTGTGTATGCGTTCAATATATGTTGACCTGATGTTTGTAGCGTTTGTAGTGTGCGCAACGTGTCTACATGTGTTAGAGATTCCGAAGGAAAGGAAACGCAATTGTGGCGTAAAAAAAAAAAAAAATTTTTTTTGTAAAACATGAATTGGGCGGTACCTAGCGCCACCTAGCCTAGCTACGTGCGATTACTCTGATTGACCCTGCCATCTGGTGGCAAGCGATTTAACATCCTTTTACGCTACGCGGCTACGCCATAATTTCGTGTTACCGTGCTGAGGTAAGCCAAGAGGTTGCTTCGGATTTGCTTTTTTTTGAGAGCGGCTTTTGGTTTTGCGGGCGAATGATTTTCACTCCTCCGTGATGTGCGGTTGACGCTACGGTTGACGAAGGAATTGTGGCTCGAGGAATAGCAAAGGTAGGACATAAAGTGCGCGAACTGAGTGCCGGTTGTCTCCGTTCAACATCGCAGTGCTGACGATGAGAAGACTGAGTGACTGCATGCTTTCGAAACGTAAGTTTCTTTACCTGCAGGGGTAAAGAAACTTCGGAAATAAATACAGTTCGCGGAAAGCTCGTGTTACGTTTTTATTTCCTGCTCCTCTCGCTTCGTGCAATAGACTTAGTGTTCTCGTTAAGCCTTACCGAGCTCGATTTGCTCGATTCGTGGCCGCCATAATGAGATGCAGTCGACGGAGGAACTTTTCCTCCCCCGCTTAAGGGACGAACGTTTCTCCCTTTCTGAAGGAACATATGTGTCAAGAGCGTTCCTCCCTTTAGGGAGGACTATACTGACCCTTTTTTCTAAGAGTGTGCCTGCTCTGGTGCGGAGCGCGAGATCACGATGAAAATGCAAAGACAGAACAAAAATTCGAACGCCGTCAAAGCTAAGACGCTGAGAGCGTGGGCCAAGAGATGCCGGTTCACGCGTTCCAAAGTAGACATCAAAAAGAAAAAAAAAAATTAAAACGTCGCGACACAGGTGTTGTGACGTCAGCACGCAGAGATAAGAGACGCGTGCCCAAACGGTGGTGTCATGAATTTGGCACTTTCGATTCTCTTGCAACATTGAGTTTGGCCGATTTCTGGCGTCCAAAGGTGTTTTTCGTTCTTTAGCACCACATAGAACTGAAAAAGCTCGACCAACGTGCCATAAGTAGGGCTTTGCTCAATCAGGTGAGCTTGTACTACCCAAAATGAAGGCGCTACAGTTTGTTCAAAGCTTCAGCGCAGGAGGCCTATCCCCAACTTACAGGCTTTCGGAAAACTTTTTTGTGGGGTAGAAAATGCTCAGATTAATAAAATATGCAATATTGCTTAATTCATGTTAATTCGATGGGATGCGGAACTTGATCTCAGATATATAGAGAACGGATATTTCAAAATATTTGTGGGGTGAAAGATGGCAATTTCAACGCAAAATATGACAAACTATCCTCACTGAAATAAACAGTTCAATCAAACCAATGTAAACATAATAAAATGAACACTCGGTGATAATATAAAACCATGTCAGTAATGTAAAAAATAATAAATGAATTGTAAAAAAAAGCGCCTACTCATTAAAATGAAGCCGCCTGCATTCACGAAAAAAAAAAATATCCCGGACGTCCTCTGCTTGATCTTTAATGTCGCGGTGAACATTCAAAAACGGTATACTTCGTTTCAGCTTAAATCCAGGTGCAGCCGATGCTACAAGCACGAGTTCAGTCAAGGCTTTCAGCGTCCCTGCCAAGCACGCGAGCTCGTGCAGTGCAATTGTTTAGGGCCACATGTTCACGCCTGTAGCATCGGCTGCGTCTGGACTGAAGCTGAAACGAAGCAAGACCGAGCAGTCGCTCAGTCGAAGTGGACGCTCTCAGGCATGTTTTCAACCGAAGTAGTGCCTCCGGACGGAGAGCGACCGCCTGTATACCGCAGATGTGACGGGCGCTTCACGTTTCTCCCTCTTGCATTGGACACCTAAAATTTACCCATTTTTGGCGAAGTTTCCCCCACTTTGCGAAAATCGTCGCTCACGAATACGATGAAGTCCGTCCTGCTTTCTGCTTTGTATGTCAAGGTGGCATGCGATGCAATTCCTTATTACTATTAGCTTAATAGGGAGTTTTAGTAGATCGTTTTCGTGCAGCCGCTCTCCAGAGCGGAGCGCGGAATCGCCACTGCGCCTGCGCGCCGATGGCCTTGGCTGTAGAGTTCCGGGTAGCGGAGGGGCTTAGCGGAGCGGGAAACACGGTTTACTCGCTGCACGGAACATCAGAAACTTGAAGAGACAAGCCTTCATATTCTCACTACGCGCAAGTGCAAGGTTAGTCAAGTTCCTTTCCACGTTCGGCGCGTAGTTTCTTTGTGGTGCGTCATGTCATTTCTCCGAGTGACGGAACAACGAGTTCGGACTGATGACTTCTTACCCCGAGGATATGCTGCTGCTGCCTTTGGATCACGCTGCAAGATAAAACGGCCTAGCAATTGAAGATAACACTCTTTCCTTCGGCACCTGGTTCTGTAGCACGAATTTGTTAAACTTTTAATAGATAATAGATTTTGGTTTTGCGATTGTTCAGAATTACCTTCGCCCTAAATATGGGCCCCTAAAGTGTTTGTGCGTGGTCGGTTGCTCCAATTTTTCAATGTCGAGATTTTTTTTTTTTTTTTTTTTTTGCTGTTTAATTTTTTTTTTTGTGTGTAGCTATTTTTGTAGTATAGCTATTTTCTGTTTTCTCTGGCCTTCACGCGTTGGTATTGCGGTGCTACTTCGAAAAGCGAAGGGAGTTTTGTGATGTGAAAAAGCGTTTAAAGTTGGTGGGCCGCAATTACGACGACAGTAGAACAGTGAGCCGCCCCGCCCGTATTCGTGTAAATGAAGCCTGCTCCGTTTTTAAAAATGACAATGCAGCGTTACCCGTTTTATCTTAACAGCGTCTCCCTAATCTTTGCCTGAGCGTCCGTGTCGGCGAGCTCACCCTCCGTCATTGACGGGGGGGGGGGGGGGGGGGAGGGGGGGGGGGGAGATGCCGTTGAACCCCTCCCGAAATAAAATTCTGGCTACGCCACTGCATCGCAGCGTTACCTCTCGTACGTGATGTCAAGCGATGTCGCCACGTTGACTTTCGCCTCGGGAGGACGGGGGGAAGGCTGGTTCAGACATATGCAACGAGCGCGTACCTACGCCTGCGTCCGTTGCAACCGGAGCGACCGGAACGATCGCTCTGCGCCGCG